ACGCAGCAGGGTGGCAGGAAGGTGCCCTCCACGCGGCAGTCTGGGCGGCACCACCTGATGCGGTAGCTCATGGCTCCACCCTGGCCACCTCCAATTCCACTCCCAGAGCCACAGCCGGAGCCACAGCAGCTGGTCTGGCAGCAGCTGGGCTGGGAGCAGCTGGGCTGGGAGCAGCTGGGTTGGCAGCTGGGCTGGCAGCAGCTGGGCTGGGAGCAGCTATCCTGGCAGCCGCTGGGCTGGCAGCAGCCGGTCTGGCAGCAGTTGGGGCGGCAGCAGCTGGCGCCACAGTTCCCACTGGTGGAGCAGCTGGGGAATCCGCAGAAGCTGGTGGAGCAGCAGGCCATGGTGTCAGGAGTCTGTCTGAGAGCTAAATTGCTAAGTGATTTTTCTGAGTTTTGGTTGTACCTACCTTCTAAACCCAGCCTTTTATATAGTCCCCTGAGCTACATGTTTACCTAACGTTTAGCATCTTTCCTTGTTGCCAATTGAATTGTCAGTGTTTGATTGGCTCATGCTTGAGTTGTTTAGAAAATTATAAATAGCATTTCAATTGTCCGCTCTGGGCAATGTTCAATTAAGTCTCATTATGTGTCTTTTTTGCCCTCTAAACTAAGAGAAGGTGCTTCATGGAAGCCAATCCCAGCAGCACCTCTTTATGTAATTCACATGGCAGACTAGACTTGGGGCACACACTGCCCTGGCTCACTTTGTCATACCTGTCCTTCTATAACCTTTAGACACAGTTTATCTGAACTGAAAATTTCTTCCTAAGTTGACATTCAATCCTGATTATGACTTCATCAACAAATTGTTCAGATTCGAAAAGACAAATGATATTATTGCCATCAAAACATGAGCAATCTCTTAATTCATCAGCATCCAAACCAAGTTTGCCTTTCTGTGATCAGCTGCAAGTTACAGGGTCCTAGAACTGTATTTTTGTATTCTTGCCTTCGGTCACCAATGCGCATATTACCAACTGAAGCCTTTAATGACTTTTACCTGAAAATTGTTTACTGGTTGTTCAATTAAAAATATATGCCACATGCTAATGATAGATACATATTGAAACAAGTCAAACTTTACAGATTAAAGACAAATTAATATTATTTCCCCCACCCCACACAACACCTTTTCCAAAACTAATACACCAAGATAATCAATATTGGCACTTGGTTGTATATTCTTTAACACCTTTACCTCTGCTTCTGCAATACACGTATGCACATACACACAAACATCTTCTATTTCAGTGAAGTTTGGGTCTAATACACATTTAAATTAGAAAATTTTAAAAACTATTCATAGTGAAAATCTTTTGACCATTTATCTGACAGTTTATTTCTGAGTACTCTATTGCACTGGTCCATATGTATGTCTTTAAGTAGTTCTACAATGTTTTAATCACTGCAGCTTTATAATAAATTTTAAAATCAGGAAGTGTGAGACTAACCTTATTCTTCTTTTTCAAGACTGTTTTTAGTATTTTGGATCCCTCATGATTATATATGAATTTTTAATATTCTATTTGTGCAAATCACCACTGATATTTTTTTAAAATATTTTTTAGTTATACATGGATATAATATCTTTATTTTGTTTATTTATTTTTATGTGGTGCTGAGAGTGGAACCCAGTGCCTCACATATATGAGGTAAGTGCTCTGCCACTGAGACACAGCTCCAGCCCACCACTGAGATTTTGATAGAGATTTCATTATGTCTGTAGATTTCGTTGATATTTTTATCTTAACAATATTGTCTTCCAATCAATGAACAGGGAAATCTTTCATTTGCATCTTTTGAAATTTATTTCAGTTAATATTTTGCAGTTTCTGGTGTACAATTATTTCTCCTGGGTTAATTTATTCCTAAGTGTTTTATTTTTTTTGATGCTATTATAAATGGAATTGCTTTCTTACTTTCCTTTTCAGATTGTTCATTGCTAATGTATAGAAATTCAAATGATATTTTGTGTGCTGATTTTGTATTTGTAACTTTGCTAAATTCACTTATTGGTTGTAGTATGCGTGTATAAAATCTTTAGGGATTTCTACATCAAGGATTATATTGTCTCTGAACAGAGATAATTTGCTTTTTTTCCTTTTCAATTGCTTTGGCTGGAACACCCTGGACTCTTATAAATCAAATGGATAAAAGTTGGCATTCTTATCTTGTTCCTAATCTTAGGGGAAAGAAGGGTTTTAGTCTTTCATTGTCGAGTATAAGGGAAGTATATTATTTTCATATGTGGCACTTATTATATTGAGTAGTTTGCTTCTATTCTTAGTTTATTGAATGTTTTTTAAATTATGAAAGGGATTTGAATTTTTTCAAATGCTTCCTTTGATTGTGTATTCTCTCTTTAATTCTGTTAAAGCAGTTTGTTACATTGATTGATTTGTGTATGTTGAACCATTTTTGCATTCTAGGATAAAGTCCTATTTGGTAGTGATTTTTCAATCCTTCTAATGTGCCATTGAACATTGTTTGTTAATACTAAGTTAATGCTTTTTCTATGATTATTCATAAGGGATTTTTTTTTCCTTAGAGTGTACTTAACTTGACTTTGGTATAGTAAGGCTGATTTAACAGAATGACTTTGGAAGTGTTCTCTCCTCTTCAATTTTTTGGAGGATTTTGAGGATTGGTGTTAATTTTTCTTTGGTAGAATTCAACAGTGAATAAATCTGGTTCTTGGATTTTCTTTCTTGGGAAGTTTTGATTACTGATTCAATCTCCTTGTTAGTTATAGGTCTGTCCAGATTTTCTCCTTTTTTCATGGTAGGTTGTGTTTTTCTAAGAATTCATATATAGATTTGTGGACCTATGGATAAGATTTATCTATGTTATTCAAATTCTTAATATATCCTATACTTGTAACTCATTTTAATAGCTATACAATTTTCCAGAGGCTGATCATACCAGAATTTATTGAATCATTCCCCAACCAATAAGACCTCAATCATTTTTAGTTGGTGAGTTTGAATTTTAAAATAATAATAGGATTTGAAGCTGAAAGAGACATTAAATGGGCCAAGCTTTAGGTGATTAGGGGACTGAGATCTTCACTGAGAAATCATTTAATTCAACTAAGTGAACTTTGCAAACTGGTTCTACAACTATGTGACTGTGTGAGCCCAGAAAAGTCACTTAATCTCTCTGAACAATGATTTACTCATCTATAAAATGAGATGATCTCTCAGACGCCTTCCAGGGCTAAAAATGTGTAATTGTTCTACTAAGTCATCCATTCCTTAAGGGCATGATCCCTAAGGCCATGTCAGATTCACCTTGGTTGTCTACATGGTGCCTCTATACTACCTTGCTTGTAGATGCTCAATAATTGCTTGTGGAATGCAGACTGAAGGAATGATTAGCAGTTCATGGTCCTGATGAAAAGCTGAATTTGCATTTTACCAAAGTCACTTGTAATTTTACTTTATTTATTTTTTCTCAGCAAGAGCTATTTAGGTTGTAATATTGAAAAGCGGTCAGTAGTTAGAATCAAGGGGGAAAGAGGATAGAATGTGTCTCTGCTACTGTTTTGTCATTCAGAGGTTTTTCTTTGGATTGGATGATTCTTTGACTATTTGTTACCTTTGTTTATGCTTTCTAATTTTCCAGTTCTCATTAACATTGAAATGAATGAAGTGTTGTGAATTTAAACAAAGTGCTATTCTTTATACATATATAAAAAAAATACTTTCAGTACCCTCTAGTTTAAGTCCAGGGAACTGTGAATTAATCCTGAACCTTGTCTGAAAAACTATCTAAACACATGAAGCATTTCCTGACACTTAGGTTGGAAAGTGTATAAATATGTTGTGTATGTGTATGATATACAAATGTGTTTATATATAATAAATATGCATATATGTGTATATATGTGCATATATACATATATACATAATATATATATTTTATATACATATATACATAATATATATTATGTATATATGTATATATATTATATTATATATATTATGTATTATACAATACATAATATATATATATATATTATTCTCACTTTCTGTTTAGGAAATGGGAAAAAATTTTTGGAGTAAAATACTCCATCTCATTGGGACTGTATTTTTTTCAGTTTTCTCCTCCTTATATTTCTCTTGCTCTAACTTGTGAGATTCCATACAAACAGAAAAATGTGCTTTATTAGCACATATTACCACTGTTTGAAGATGGTCTGAAATTTCATCCCTCTTGCAGTGGCTCCACAGAAAATTAAGCTTCATTTTCTTAACTAAGCTTCTCCAGAAATCTTCACCATAATTGATCTTAGGACTATCAGCAGAAGAGTCTCTATAGAAGAGTTCAATAAAGGTAAACTTTCTATTTCCTGTTGCTCTATCTTACTTGGCCTCTGGCCTGGAAGAGATCAGCACTCCAGGTGCTGAACGCCCCTTTACTAGTTTTTCACAAACATTTATCCGGTATTGTAGTTTGTAGAAGTGTGTTTGCAAATGCAAAGTGTGATTAAAAAAAAAAAAAAAAAAGACAGGTCTCTGGCCTTGAGCTGGAGCTTCACAGAGATGTTTACTTTTCTAAGATAAAAGAAAAAAATTACTAATTGGGTAACTGCATGGTAACAACTGGCAGGAGGAGAGAAGAAAGGTTGACTTGCCCAGAACAGTGAAAGAAAAAGCTGCTTTGGGGTGAAGTTCTGCAGACTGTGAACTTCTGAGCCCCTCCTCTTACACGCTGGGTATAAAGTTCTAAACTGCCTCTCCTCAGGGTGCAGAAGGATTGATTGGTTACAGTGAAAGCTTTGCCCTCTGAACCTGACTATAGCCAAATAAGCCTACCTTTCAGTTTTCTATTTGGTGTCCTGCCTCGCCTGTCCCCTGCAACATTGTGATTGAAGAATAAGTCATGTTTAGGCTCTAGATTCTATACCTGTCTTATTTGTAAAAGCACTGTGAGAAGTCAATGTGTGGTGACAGAACCTAGGACATTTCCGAGACCCTAGGGTAATTGACTTTACTGTGTATTTTTATGGGGCTTAACATCCACCATACTTCATCACATTTCCTAACAAGAAGAATAGTGTGGGATAAAAAAACAGATTGAAATCTTCCATGTGACTTTGTGTGAAATATCTATCACAAACACAATAAAGAAAAGAGATTTCTGCTGCACCATTAGATATAATTTATTAGATATTGGCATATTCTTCTTCTTCCATAAGAGGAACAATTTGCAGGATGGTGAAGTAGCAGAGGGGAAAGTATCTGAGAAGAAGAGATAGTTCTTCCATGGGCTCTTCCTCAATGAGCTTCGGAGAGTGTGGTCAAATATCTGCAGAAGATCACAAATGGTTTTCCCATTTC